AAGCTTCCTTGGAGCTGGGCCTGGTTCAACTGGATGGTGTTGTTGAGTGCCACGCTCGCCTGCTTGATCTCGGCGACGGCAGCGTCCGTTTTTTGAGCAACGTCGTTCAGCTTGGCGCCGAGAGAGGCGGTGGCGGTGTCCTGCTTGTCGAGCTGCGCCTGCACAGCGGCCATGGTGGTAGCTTGGGCACGTACACTAGCTTCGAGGGCCAGAATCCGTTCGAGCTCAGCATCAGGGAGACGGACAGGAACCGGGGCAGGTGGAGGTTCACGGGGCTCAACTTGCATCCGCGTGTCGGCTTCACCTTGCGGAACAGGTTGCTCTGGTGGGGTCCATTCAAGTGCAGCAAGCCAGGGAGGCGTGGCAGCCTCTGGTGCAGCAGGTACTTCACCAGCAGGTTGATCAGGTGGTGGCTGTGTGTTGAGGGAGGCGGCGAGGACGACCGTAGGAGCTGCCGCTGAAGCATTGGCGGGGCTGCGGTTCCCGCTGGTGACCTCGGTGACGACCCAAGGCGTGGTAGTGCCGAACTGCCAGTACTTGTTGGTCGGCTCGGTGTCGGAGCGCGCGATGGCGAAGTTTGTCTTCTCGTTGATGTCGAAGCCCACGTAGACGATGTCGGCGGCCCAACCAACTGTTTGAGCAGCGTCCGCAACTTGTCCTTGAGTGGCCTTTCCATTCGGGATGTTGTCGATACGCCATTTGCGTCGGGCCAGAGCTGTGGCTGAGCCTCGTACAGCAGTGGCCGCTTCGCCTGCTTTGATGTGTTCACGTAGCACCCGTAGTCCGAACTGTCCGCGATCGCCTTTCGTAACGCCCAGCGCGGCCTCGTGGGACTTGGAGAGGCTGTAGGCCTCCTGCATGGAGATGGTATTGTTGAACCAGACGGCGTGGATCTTCTTCTTGTCGGTCTCCTGCTTCTCAGCGTCGGCGCCGATGCACGAGAAAGTAAAAGTGATGCCCTGGTAGCCTGAGTACTTGAGGAGCGCGTCCTCCTGGTTCTTTGGAATGGCAATCACGGCACCCAAGATGCGTTGCCCTGCCTGACCTCCTGCCCGTAGAAGGCGGCTGGGCTCGTCGAGAAGCGGGATATCGGGGCAGATGGCCTGCATGGTGGACTTGATGACGTCGCGTAGCCCATTGTCCATCGAGATCTTAGCATCGGACTTGCGAGCCGTCTTCCAACGTTCGCTGGCCGTGCTGCCCAGCTTGTCCTTGCGTTGCCCGCCGACGACGACAGGAGCAGCGCCACTGAACTGACTGCTGAAAACTTCATTCATGGTGGGGTTGACGAGCAACGCGTCGGCCTCGTGGATGGTGATGCGCATGAAGGTCGCGTTGCCGTCCGCTTCGCCGAGCTGCGCGACATTGGTCTTCATAGTGACGTCGGTCTCGCCGAACTGGTAGATGACACCGTTCGCGAAGGTCTTCCGCGGGTTGGTGGTGCCGCGGGAAACCCTGAGAACTGGAATCTGGATCTTCGCGTGGGCCCAGTTGTCGCTGCCCGTGCCGATGGCCAGGATGGCGAGCGGCTGATGGTGATGGTGATGGTGATGGTGATGGTGATGGTGATGGTGATGGTGATGGTGATGGTGATGGTGATGGTGATGGTGATGGTGATGGTGATGGTGACGGTGATGGCGATGGTGATGGTGATGGTGATGGTGATGGTGATGGTGATGGTGATGGTGATGGTGATGGTGATGGTGATGGTGATGGTGATGGTGATGGTAATGGTGATGGTGATGGTGATGGTGATGGTGATGGTGGGTGGGTTCCTGTTCCTGCGATGGGTTTCCAGAAAAGAAAAAAAACACTTTCGATGTGGGGGGGCAATTTGGGACACTTTCGCGGTTGATGAGGAGCGGGTTCCCTGGTTTTGTTTCCTAAGAAAGGCGTTCCTCGGGGTTCCCTGGGTTCCCCGGGTTCCACGGGTTCCACGGATCCCTTTGGTCTTGTTTCCCTACAGTTTTTGAAATCGCTGGCCTTCCTCGTTTTCCCCCGGTGTCCCGGGTTCCATGGACTTGTGTCCTTCCTGCTGTTTAAAACAATGCCAAGCAATGCTAAGGAACGCAAAGCACTGCCTAACGATGCCTAGCAATGCCAAGCATTGTCGAGCAATGCCAATCAATGCCAAGCAAGAATGCCCAGCAATGCCAAGCGATGTCAAGTCATGCAAAGGAACGCAAAGTAATGCCAAGCAATGCTAAGCAATGCCAAGCAATGCCAAGCCATGCCAAACAATGCAAAGCAATGCCATACAAGGCCAAGCAATGAAAAGCAATTGAAAGCAACGCAAAGCAATGCCATGCATTGCCAAGCAATGCCAAGCAACACCAAGCAACGCCAAGCAACGCAAAGTAATGCAATGCCAATCAAGGCAATGCAATACAAGCAATGCCAAGCAACGTTGCTTAGGAAATATTGTCTTAATTGCGACTGTGAGAGGCGGACCCAATGCACAGGCGACAAAACGTCCGAGCGCAGTAATCTACCACTCTACCACGAGCGCACGCGCACAGTTTTCGGAGCGATCCACTGGGGAAGGCACCTGGATTCCTTGATAACCCATGTCATAGAGTCTTCGGAAACGATCGAGGCGGCAAACTGTTCCATGTGTTTGACCTCCGGGCGTCCGCTTCAGGCCGGGAACATACAAAACGAAACCTGGTACAGTCGGGCTGCTGAAATAAGGAACGCTAAATGAGGAACGAAGCCCCTCTGTGGTTTCAAAAAAGCCTGGGTGCACGAGAAGTGCTAGAGGAACAACCACGGAAGGACGTAAGGAACATCGAGCCCCTTCCGAATCCAAATTGTTCCTTATTTCAGCGTCTTGGCTGTATGAGAAGGCAGTCCCAGGAATGGCGCCACCAAAAAACTCTCGTGACGCCAGACTCCCACGGTGCGAGTACGAGGGAGAGAACGAGGCATAGGGAGGCGAGGGCGAGGGCGCGAGGGCGCGGGGGCGACGGCAGAGGCACCAGGCAGAGGCGCAGGCAGAGGCAGAGGCGCAGGCAGAGGGGATGGAGCGGGGAGTCCGACGGGGATGGAGAGGAAGGAGAGAAGGAAGACACCAGCAGGAGACCAGAATCCCGTCAAGAGAACCCGCCCTCTGGCCGTGCTGTCGCCGTCTCTTTGGGCGCCGCTGGACGGGGGGGCAGGAGAGGAGGGAAGGGGAAGGGGGGCAGGCGGTGGCTCAGTCGAGTCACGTGCTGCTACGGCGCACTCGTGATGGTCAGGCCCCCCGTGAGCGCCACCAGGGCGACGAGCTCTCGGCGAAAGGCGGGTCGGGGCAGGCGTGGCACCGCCGCCGCGGTAGCAGAAGGCAGCCGAGCGAGTGCGGAGACGCTTCGGGTGGCCGTTCGATGCGTTCCACCTTCGCGTCTCTGCGGCCCGATCCCTCGGTGCCGCGGCACCTGTCGGCCCTCGAACCCTCGGTGCCGCTGCACATGTCGGCCCTCGATCTTCCCGCATATATCACCCTCGTCCACGGTCGTGCTCTCGCCACTCGCACCTGGCGGTGCATCCCCCCTCCTGCTCCCATGCTCTGACTTGTCGGACTGCCAATCCCTTCGCGTGAGTGGCCGTGGTGCGGCGCACTCCAGGCTTCTGCCGCCTTATCGTTCAGACTAAATGATCAGAATGTGTACCCCAGCGTTGACGTGTTGTGCCAGGATGGCATCCCAACCCCCGAGCCATAAAAGGAAACAAAGGACATGACAACAAGAAGGATACCTTGATAATGTTCGAACGAGCAGCAGTTATACTGTATACACTATAAATGAGCAGAGCATTGCGAAGCAAAGGGACGAACACGAAGAGGAAGAGATCAGAAGAGACAGCCTGGGCGCGGACACCTAAGAAAATTGTACGCCGCAGACATATTGGTACTCAGCCCTGCGGGCCAAGGCCAGACAGCCGCAACAAGCGAGAGGAGAGAGGGCGGGGAAAGTTTCGACGGCCCAAGTTGACGAGGGAGGGCAGAGCGGAGGAAGGGTGCCAGGTGCAGCTCCCCCGAAGAGCTCTGGCTGGCCTAGAACCCCCCATGCCATCGACATCCTCACCAGGGGCTGGAAAGGGGGGCTCAAGGGGATGGGTGGGGCTGGGTCAAGGCACCACTGCCTTTCGCCCCAGCGGGGGCTCCAGAAGGCATTTCCCATCGGCGTCGTTGTCGCCAGGAAAGAAAATCATCTCCGGAGTGCTATGGAGGTCTTCCGCAGTCTGAAGCTCTGGAGGCTCTCAGGAGTCCACCGTCTCGGCCTCTGGACGCTCGGGCCCCCTCACCCCGTCTGGCCTGCACCCTTGCCGGCCTCCTGCCACTCTCGGGACCAAGCGCCCAAGCAGCTGGGCCCACGGCGTCGGGCGCCCAGGGGAGGATGCTGGGGCAGCCACCTCTTCCCTCCTCCCCTCTGCAGATGCAGGCCGCCCACGTGGGAGCACGCAAGTGGGATACATCGGGATGCGTCGGGAGGGAGAAGACTGGGCTACGGATCGCGCTGGCATCACCGATGCATCGGCGATGCAGCGCGATCCTCTGACCCCACCTGCTCTGGCCAACTTGGGGCGGCCTGGATAGAAGAAACAACAAGTGTACCAACATCAATGTCTGGAGGTCCAAACGGATGTCTTGGATGGGCGCCGAAACACCTTCCCTGGCGCGCGGAACACGCAGGAGGGCGGCGCCTGAGGCACCGCCAAGGGGGTCCAGCGCCGATCCAAAAAATCCGCGCAGGCCCCCGAAAGCTTGTGTTTACGCAGACTTGCTATGATCCGGCTAAACGCATGAGTGACCCTGAGTAAGAGTGACCTTTGGTGGGCAGCTTTTAGGGGGCCGCGGGGAGACCAACCACAAGAACACAAGAAGTTACTATCGCATCGCGTTGGGTCCGCACCAAAGGTCACTCCGGCGAAGGGTCACTCTCACGTGTAGTCGATATACTTCACTATCCGATCGGAGAAGTGCTCGGGCTCTCCCCACCCCTGCAACTCCCCCCCAGCCCAGCCTGCTTCTTCGCCGAGCCCTGGCACTCCTGGACCCAGGCCGGGTCCACGGCGCCGGCGGCGAGCGCTTCGGGTCCAGCAGCGCGAAGCAGCGTCAGCCCCAGCCAGGCGAAGTACCTGAGCGACTTGCGTTGGCGACGAGGGGAAAGTGACAGGATCGGTCAGCATCGAAGCGGGCAATCGGATCAGGTCGGAACGTGCATCGAGTCGAACCGTATTGGCTCGGAGTCGAAGTCGACTCGAATCTGCTGCGGCCAGGGTGACAACAGCGCTGTGCACGCATGTTGTCGCATCGTATCGTTGGGAAATCGCCACCGAGCTGGGTAAAATCAGCATCGAATCGCAGCGTGGATTGGGCGATATGGACCCTGGGAGGTGACGTGATGTTCCGCATCTGTGTGTAGGGGGGGGGGGGGCTTCTCGAACCTGAACATCGAAAATCAAGTCATGTGCATTACCTGTGCCGCTTCTCTCTCTCTCTATATCTCTCTCTCTCTCTCTCTCTCTCTCTCTCTCTCTCTCTCTCTCTTTCTCTATATATATATATATATATATATATATATGTATATATACATATATATATACATATATATATATATATATATATATATATATATTATGGAGCCCTCTGAAGCCGCTTTACCACAGCCCTGGGCCTTCCCTTTTCTCATGCAAGAAGAGCGGCCGCCTCGCGGCCGACAGTGACTCTCTCTCTGCGACGCCGACTTCAAAGGTCAAGGATGCAGCTGGATCGATCCGCACGCCTCGCAGACTCTGGAAACTCAAGAGGCGCCTCGAGCGCCACCGGTGCGAGATCACTCACCCAGAGAATATTACAAGGGAGGTGGAGGGGACGCAGGTAGGAGAAGCTTGAGCCAGAACAGATACGGTCGCATCTGCGCTGTGAACAAAAACGGTACGCTGAGAACGAGGGCCAAGCACACACATCTTAAAGATTACAAGTCTGGAGCCCCCTGAAGCCGCTTTACCAGAGCCCTGGGCCTTCTCTTTTTCTCATGCAAGAAGAGCGGCCGCCTCGCGGCCGACAGCGACTCTCTCTGCGACGCCGACTTCAAAGGTCAAGGATGTAGCTGGATCGATCCGCACGCCTCGCAGACTTTGGAAACTCAAGAGGTGCCTCGAGCGCCAACGGTGCGAGATCACTCACCCGTACCCCCGAAACCCCTTTTGGGTCTGGGAACTGCGGCTGCTGGCACGAATTTGCAAGACGCTGGCTTCCGCAACTGGCGGAGCGAGTGCGAAAGGGCCTGAGGTAGGGAAGAGGCCGCACGCTTCGCGCTCTGCTGCTAACCTCGGCTCATCTTAGACAACTGTTTGAGCCGGTCAGCTGACTTCTCGTATCTGGTGACAGATCTGAAAGCCGCCCAGCGGCCTCTCTTCTGAATGGCACGGAGGTCCAGGGCCTCATTGAAACGATCGTTGGAAGGGCCAGAGCGACGCAGCCAGTGGGGCGATCCGCCCAGAGAAGAGAGGCCGAGGCGTGTCAGGACGCGGCCGAAACTCTTTTCATACTGAGACAGGGTAAAGGGGAAAAGGCGGCAGCTGGGCTCAGCGCATCGGGCCAGCGTCGCGGCCACGTCCTTGACCCAGCCCCGTCCGGCCACGCCGACCTCCACGGCGTCGTCAAAGATGCCCGTCTTGGTCGGCCGCCCACGGCCGCCTGGGGCGAGGCGGAGCACGACCTCCCCAGCGCACTCAGCCCCAGCGTCGGCGCAGCCGACCAGCGCGTCTTGGGGCCTGAGCTCCAGCGCTTCCGAGGGCCAGAGGAAGCAGTCCGTCTGGATCACCACGAGCGCCGCCAGCCTCGGCTCGCCGTCGGCAAGGAAAGCCTGCGCGAGCTGCCAGCACACTGAGAGCGGGCAGGGCATGCCTACAGCCCCCGGGTCGCTCTTGCACCAGCCTTTGAGCTGCCGACGGGCTCGCGGGAGCCGCACCTGGCCGACTCCAGACTCGCGGTTGTCCCCGCGCAGCAGCAGGTGCCCAAAGAGCCCGTTGCGGCCAGAAGCCGGCCCCAGCCCGGCGAAGTACAGCTCCGTCATCCAGCCAACGAGGTTGGCATCTACATTGACCAAGTTGTTGTTCTGGCGCCCGTTCAGTCGGCGCCAAGACTCAAACTCATCAACTCCTTTCCTGTGCAGTGCGAGGGTGGCCTCCGACACGCCCTTCAGCTTGAGGTAGTCTGCCCGCGAGCGACCTGCGGCGGCTGCGCGGCGGGCCCGGGCGGCGGCCTCGGCGACAGGCGCGCGCCGCCGTCGGGCGGCCGGCGCCCGGCTGCTACCAGCTCGGCGGGTCGAGAGCGTCTCCGCGAGCACGGAGGGCCGCCCGCTCGACCGCGCTGGTGTTCCCGAAGAAGACACCGTGCTCCGCGAGGTAGCGGTCGGCCCGGACACAGCTCGCGTCGCCGCCCGCTGCCGCGTCAGCCGGCCGAGCATCGCCCTCAGCGGCGCCGCGACGCCGTCGCGGCACCGGGGCCTCCAGCTCGCCGGCCCATGCCTCCACAATCGGCGGAGAGGCACCGAAAGCCGCGGCGGGGGCCGCCTCGGCCAGGCACGCAGCCCAGCTCGAGCAGAGAGCCGACAGATACGCGCCCGCCCGCTCCGCCAGGCGAACCCATCTGACCTTTCCCCGATCATCTGCGACTTTGACTCGCCCCGAGAGGTGAGGATGGGAGGTGCGTGTGCACTCCGACGCCAGCGATGCCAGCGTGGGCGAGTTAGTCAGCAGCGCCGCCCACATCTGGCGCGGGACCCCGTAGGCGCACATCGGGAACTTCACCCAGCGAGCCCCAGCCAGCCCAGCCAGGCCCCCGACCGGAGGGAAGCTCCACAACCCCGACGACGCAGGATTCTCGATGGACCACAGGACGTTGCACCTCTGACAAGCACGGACCACCTCGCTCGTGAACAACGCAAACTCAACCCCCAACCGTTCCGTGGGTCGAGCACGCTTGAGGTCTTTCACGCCCTTTCTGGCTATACTCCAGGAACTACGAGGTGCACCCAAGTGAACTCCCCAGACTCTTCCAGATCGCAACCCACTTCAGAACCAGTAACTGAGTAGCCCGACGAGATAAATCATATTGAGCGCCCTTACGGATGTCGAACGAGAAGCCCACACGTAGGCCTGCAGATACAAGCGCCCGACTGAGGAGAGAAGAGCTCCAAGAAGACTTTTGCCGACTCTGGCTCGCGAGCATGTCCGGCCTCGGCTGGCGTCGAGCGGCCCCCGACGCTGCGCTCGAGAGCTGTCTCGGCCCGCAGCGCGCGGAGGCCAGCTGGACTAGATCGTCTGGAAGACGCGGAGGAGGGGATGTGGAAGGTCTCGTGCTTGCGCTCTGCAGGCTCTGAGGTCGCACTCGGGGGGGTCGAGGGAGCTGGAGAGGGACGGGCAGGCCCCCAGGGCGCCACCACCTGGCGGCGGGCCTTCGCCGCGCACAGCCACTGAGGCTCGGGTGGTTCGCGCAGCCTCGAGCCGCAGTCGGCCGCGCAGAGATCGGTCGGGACGTGGCGGACCCGCCACCGTATCCCGCAACCCAGCGCGTAGCTGGCGGCCCGCCGGCGCTGCGCGTTCAGCGCCCTGGAGGTCGACCGCCCCTTGTCCAGGCAGCAGCACGTCACCATGTTGTCGCGCAGCGAGAGGACCCGATGACCGCGATGCCAAGGGCCCCGACAGCTCCTGCGCAACCCCATGACACACGCCCTCGTCTCCTCGATACTGATGTGCTCCTCAGGGCGCTGCCACCGACCGGCCACCGCTCGTCGCCGGCCCTCGTCACGCGTCAGCGCCACGGGCAGCTTCGGGGCCACATTCAGGAGCTCGACCTCTTGGCGGTTCCGGCCGCCCACGGCGCTGCAGCCTTGCCGACGCCGAGTCTGGCCAACCTTGCGGAAGGCGAGCTGGCCCAGCTCGGTCGAGGACCAAGCGCCCGTCGACCGCCCGGCACGCAGCTGCACGTCAGCGAACTTGGGGATCTCCAGCTCGTCGTCTGCTGGGAGGCCCCGTAGCTGCGCCAGGTAGGCGCTGGTGCAGCGGGCGTCGTCACACTCCGCCTCAACCTCCACGAATCGCCACCGCCCCCGCCAACGCCAGGCGCCCCGGACCGCCCGAGCCGGCTTCCGCCCGCACATCAGGCAGCAGCCGCCCGTCGACGAGTCGGAGACGCGCACCTCATCCCCGTAGGGGGCCGCGAGGTTGACGCCCCCCAAGAAGACCAGCGCGGCGGCCAGGCGCAGCTCGAGCCGAACTCCGCGAGGCAGAGGTCGCCGCGCACCGAGCCCGCCCCCTATGAAGGTGCACATGTCCTGCAAGATCAACAGCAGCAGCGGCCGCAGCGAGCAGAGGTGGACCGCGCGCCCCGCCCAAGCCCGCAGCTCGGCGGGCGCGCAGTGCCCGCGCTGGAGGAGCTCCTTGGTCCCGAAGTGGAACCGCCACACTCGATGCGGCGTGTGCCTGAGCGTCTTGTCGGACCCGTGGATCACGAGCCCAAGCGACTCGAGCTCGGCGAGCGAGACCTCGGGCACGCGAGGCTTCAGCCCCGCGTCCGCGGCAGCCCTCTCGAAGCCCCTCACCCCGAAGGCGGCGCCCTCCTGGCAGCCGCCCAGGCCCGCGAAGTTGCACACGTACACGGCACTGACTGGACGCCCAGGCCGAAGGAGGGGAGCGGGACGCTTGTCCTGGAGCAGCTGCTCGCTGCCCCCTGGACATCCACGCTCGGCCAGCGCGGCGACGGCCTCCTGCGCAAAGTGGAGGGCCCGCGACCACCCCATGGGCAGCACCCGCATCACAGGGTAGAGCAACTCGCCCGCCTGCACCGGGGCGGGCCCCTCGAGGTCATCGTCGTAGACGCGGGAGGTCTCCAGGCCCCACTCCTCCACGGTCAGCGGGCAGTCAAAGCCGAACCAGCTCGCGATGCCCCCCGCCTCAAGCTGGTAGAAGCAGTCCTTCACATCCGCGCTCGACGCGCGGAGGTCGAGGGGCAGCCCCAGCGCCCCGCCGTAGCCGCCGAGGGCCTCGGCGAGGGGGCTGAGGTCCAGCTCGCTCAGGGAGGCGGGGCCGCCCAGCACGGTCCGCGGAGGCCGTCGGTGGCAAAGGTTCGCCTGACGAGCATCACAAATAAACCGAATACGACCATCTTTCTTGTGCACGAAAAAAGCTCCACAGCGGCCCTTGATCGCCCTGCGGAATCCCACTGCACCTGCCGCCGCCAGCCGGCGGAAAAAACATGACGAGCTGACCGATCTCCGCGGAGGGCGGGGTCCCAGCAAGGTGTCGGGAGCCCTCCCGCGGTCTGTAGCCGGGCCTCCAGCTCCGGAGCGGTCAGCCCCACCTGGCCCTCGAAGTGTCTCAAGTACCCGGCCGCAGCCTCTGGGAGCAAGGCCGACACAGGCACAGGCCGCAGCGCGCCGGACGCGATGTGCAGCTTGTCGGGGTCGTAGCTCGCCAGGTGCCGCGGCCCCAGCTCATACTGGTCGGCGGACTTGAAGATCGCCCGGAAGGGCCACTCACCATCCGTCGCTTCACGAGGAGGCTCGCCATAGCCGCTGACCCCCGCAACCACGTGGGCCAGCGCACTCCTTTGGACCGCAGTCGGCGGTCCTCCCCGTGGACGCACGCGATGAACCTTGCCATCAATTGAAGTCGTCTTGGAAGAAACGAGGTGGTTGAGGGCCTCAAACGTCTCTCTAACCCGCTCTTGCTCCTTGGCCCTGTGGTACCATCTGCGCACCGTGGACCTGGCTGCCCCCGTCGGCCGCTCCTCCTCGTACTGTACGGGGAGCGGGAACGGATCATTGTGGAGCCAGTGGCCGTCCGGCCACCAATACTTCTTTGGCAGCTCGCTGACTCCTGGACGGCGGTGCCTGCCAGACGCAGGCTCGACCAAGCCCACTGCGCAGACACCGCCTCGGCGGGGAGTCGTCCCCCCTCCCCCTCGGCGCCCGCCGAGGGGGGCCCTCTTTTCGCCTTCGCCTTCTGCTTGGCCCGTGAGCCGTCGCCCGTCTCGCCCTTGCCGTCGCCCTTCACGCTCCGCCGCTTCGACGCCTCCTCCTGGTAGAGCCCCTGCTGCTTGAGGATCTGGGCGCGGTCCTTCTGGCGGTTGGTGACATGCTCGAGGTGCCGCGGCACGTGGGCTGAGCCGCTCACCGACCGCGGCCCAGCCAGCATGTCCTCCAGCCCGCTGAAGTCAGGGTGCCGCGGGTTCTTCTCGACAGCCATTTCGACCTGGATGACGCGCCGCACGACGTGCTCGAAGCACGTCAGGTTGACCACATTCAGCTGGTCATGGCAGATCGCCCTCCGCAGCGTCTCGAGGTGGCAGCGATGCTCATGTCCCTGGGCACCGCCCTCTGCCACACCACTGAGCCGCTGCCACTCAGCCTGGTAGGTGAGCAGGTTGCCCGCCCCCAGCGCGATGCTCTTGAGGTACTCGAGGCACGCCCGCGGCCCTTGATCAGGCCAGTCTGCGACGGTCACCTCTCTCATGGACTCGACAGCGTCCCTGAAGTCCAGGTCCCGACGGCCCACTCGCGAGCGGTGGTCCCCCAGCACGCGGATATCCTCGACGTCCTCCCGGCACGACTGCACCCATCTGTCTCGCTCTCCACGAGGGGCCCGCTCCACGAAGCGCGGCTCCCCATCGATCATGCACACCCCACGGTCGCCGAGCGAGACGCACCTGTCGCCATCCTCGATGACGTCGGCAGGCACAGCTTCGCCAAAGCGAGCGTCCGCGACACTCGCCAGCAACCACACGTACTCCTCGGCATCCTCGACCTCCCCCCCGCCCAGGAGGGCAGCCCGTCGCTGGGCCTGCCGCTTCGCGTCTCGCAGCGTCTGCCCGTCGACTGGGTCGAAGGCGTACACCAGCGGCGCGAACTGGGCGGGGAAGGCCGACGACCGATCCAGCACATGATGTCGCAAGGTGCCGAGGTCCACCCTCACAATCTCGTGATCAGGCGCGAGGCCCAGCCACAAGGCGCCCTCGACCCGATGCAGCAACACGCGGTGGTGCCACTCCAGGTCCTCGTCGGGGCAGTGCACTAACACCTGGGCCTCACGGATGTCGAGCGTCCTAGCAGCCATCTCGACGCTGGGCCAGCGAGCTGGGTGTCGTCGCCACGGCCGTCACGGATGGCCCCGCGGGCACACCAGACGCTGGGAGCGCTGCGGCCCTGGCGGAGCGGCCTCCTGCCCCTCGGGCCGAGGAGGCTGGCTCCCCGCCGCCGCCGCTGGTGCCGCTCGGGCACCCCCAAGCCGCCCCCGCGGCCTGGCGCGCACACCCCAGCAGGCTGGCGCCCGCGCAGCCCACGGCAAGCCCAGCCCCCGCCGAGCACAAGGCCACCGCCGCGCTGGCCCAGAGCAGCGAGGTGGCCTGCCCCTCGGGGCAATTGCAGTCGCCGCACTGCAGGCCTGGGCAGCTCGGCAACGTCACTGACGGACAGGAGACTAAGGGGCACGCGGGGCAACTCGCAGCCAGCCACGACGTGCGGAAGTGGAGGGCTGCTGGGAGAAAGTCGCGAGCAAGCCCCAAGAGACCCACTGGGAGCATGCCCTCAGAAGCTTGAGCCAGAACAGATACGGTCACATCTGTGCTGTGAACAAAGACGGTACGCTGAGAACGAGGGCCAAGAACACACATCTTAAAGATTACAATACTAGAACCATCGCGAGCGCTTCGCGCGCGCGATGGCTCTAGCAGGCCCCAGGCCTTGACGAATTCACTGCTCCACTGAAGTAGCGGACCACAGTCCACGCATGCCAATCCGCATTCCGAAAGGCTTTCGGAGAAAATGGTTGTGTAGGGGGGCGGAGGCCGGATGAATCGGGTTCCCAGAGGGCCTTCTGGGAGCATGGGTTTGGGTGGCGTCTCGGGGAGCCTGTTGGGGCGTGCCGTCGTCGTCGTCGTAATGTCGCCGTCGCCTCTTCGGGCGCGCCGTCGTCGTCGTCGTCCTCGTCTTCGTCGTTTCGTCGTCGTCGTCGGTTCAAGAGGGCACTTGGGCAACTTTGTGCGAAACGATCTGCCGAGGGCCGCGACAAGGCGATCAGTCATGTTCCCAGTCAACTTCCCAGACAGCTCTCCTGTAGCGTGATGGTACTTCGAAGCCTCCGGAGACTCGCGGGCCCATGATCAACCATGTCCCCAGAAGGCTTTCTGGGGACTTGGGGTGTGTTGGGGGCCTCTTGGGCATTCCCTGGGGGTCCCTTGGGAGCCTCCAGGCACTCTCTGGCCCAGGATGAACCATGTCCCCGGAAGGATTTCTTGGGACATGATTTCTTGGGGTGTGTTGGGGGGCCTCTTGGTCGTTTTTGAGGAGCCCCTTGGGGGTCTCTTGGGGCTTCCTGCGGGCCTCTTGGGCGCCTCACGGGGCTTCGTGGGAGCCACTTGGTGGCCTCCGGGGGCCTACTGGCGGCCTCTAGGGCCAGAGACCTCGAAATATCAGTTGGCGGCCCCCCTCTGGGCCCCCTCTTGGGGAGCTCTTGGGGCACCCTTGGGTTGTCAGGGGAGCCGTCTTGGGGCCATCGTCGGGGCCTTGTAAACCATCTTGGAGCGGTCTGAAGGGCCTCCGAGCGAGGCCGTGAGGGAGCGCTGGGAAGTGGGGAAAGCGAGAACGCCTAAATCCTTCAAAAACCATCGGGGAGCCTCTTGAGTCCGTCCTGGGGCGTCGGGACCCCTTCTGGGCCTTCTCTTGTGGCGCTCTTGGGGCACACTTGGGTTGTCTCGGGAGCATCCGTGGCCGTTTTGGGGCCCTCTTCGGGGCCTCGTGGGCCGTCTTGGAACGATCTGAAGGGCCTCCGATGCCGTGGGGGAGCGCTAAAAAGCTGGAAAAGCGAGAACGCCAAAATTCAAATGACTCTGGAAATTAACGAATATTGCCTCCCAGGGTCCTCTTGGGGAGCCTCTTGAGTCCGTCCTGGAGCGTGTTGGAGTCCTCGTCGGCTGTCTTCAAGGCATCTTGGGCGTTCTCGGGGCCTTTTGGGACCGTCTTGGGCACTCTCGGGACCCCCATTAGACTGTCGTGGCCTGTTTCGGGGCGGGCTCGGGCAGCCTCGGGAGCTCTGGAATCCCCCCCCCGAACCCCCGGCGGGCAAAGATGGGGGGAACAGGCAGCGGCCCGCCCCCCCCGCGGACCTACTCCGAGAGAGAATCATGTTCCCGGGAAGCTTTCCAGGAGCATGATTTGTTCGGCTCTCTTAAGAGGGGGGCCTCTGGGGGCTTACCGAGGGGCCCATTTTGGCGTTGTCGGCAAGCTCATTGGAAACATGATTGGGGCGGTGGGCGGAAGCCCAAGGAATCATGTTCCCGGAAAGCTGTTTGGGGAATACGATTTACCGATGTGTCGTGGGGGCCCGAGGGGAGCTTCCCTGGGGGGCCCTTGGGGGTCGGGGTTTCCGGGGGGCCTGTTGGGAGCCTCACGGGGTTTCTTGGGGGCCTCTTGATGGCCTCCGGGGGCGTCCTAGGAGCCTCTCAGGCCGGAGACCTCGAAATGTCGCGCTGTTCGGGCCCTCTTGGGTCGCTTTGGGGGCTCTCCTGGGGCGAGATCGAGGCCCTCTTGAATTATCTGGGGAGCCTCCAGGGCCGTCTCTGGGTTTCTTGGGGGCCTCCTCGGCCGTCTTGGAACGATCTGAAGGGCCTCTGACGCCGTCCGGGACCATGGGGAGGCGGAACATGTTTGGAACGAGGGGCGAAACCGAACCTCTTCCGGTAAAAGTTAGGCGGGCTACGCACACCCTAGTTGGGGAGACAGGGCACAGGCGGGCGGGGCCTCAGGCGGCCGGAGGGCGGGCCGGGGTGCAGGCGGCGCCGAAGAGCTTGCACAGGAAAAGGAACGCCGAGGACAAGAGCCGGAGGCGAAGATCCGGAGGGTGGGCGATGCGGTGTTGCCGTCAACGGCACTCCGTAAACACCAGCCCCAAGCGCTGCATAGGAGGACGCTATACGCGACCAGGTCGACGCCCACAGGGGGAGAAGTCCACCACGAAGGCGATAAGCAACGTTGTGCCACCGGATGGCGAGGAGGAGGCCCCGGAGAAGAGGAGGACCACGAAAGCGATGTGCAGCGTTGCGCCACCGGGTGGTCGGAAGCGGCCTGGGGCGGTAGGTAGTCCAATCCACGACCAGGTAGCAGCCAGCAAGAGTTGCGGCCAGAGACAGGGCCGTGCGTGTCCGACAGGATGTCGGTGGAGTGCAGGGAAGATACCTGGCCTGCACAATCAGCGCGTGAAGACAGGCGGGTGCCACACGCGATGCGCTGGCGTCCGCGTGGCCGAGGGCCGGGCCTGAGCCGCACAGCGCCAAGGCGAGCGGGGCCGCCGAGGCGGCGAGGTGCAGAGCCCAGCACCGGACCGAAGCCGCGCTGTGCCGGGCGCTGCCGCCATGGGAGGGGGAAGCGAGCAGGGGGGGGGGGGCCAAGCGAACAGGGAGCAGAGAGGCCGGCATCCCACGCCAGCCGAAGTCGCGTCAGCCCGCGCCGTGGGTGCCCACGTGGGGGACAGGGCCCCTATGGGCACAGGTAGGACACAAGGTCCTATAGCAGGTAAAGACAGGGCGTGCCACGCCAGTCGTCGACGCTTCAGTCCGCATCGCAGGTGTTCACAGGGGGAACGGCCCCCGATGGGCACAGGCGGGACACAGGGCCCCAGATCCTTGAAGACGGGAGAGGGGGAGGGGAGGAGACGGAAAGGACGGGGACCAGGTGGAGTGGCAAGTAGTCGCAGCCCGTGGAACGCGGGTGCCGCCAGGGCAATGGGGCGCAGGTGGGGGGGAAGGGGAGGACGCACGGTCGCCCCGATGGGTACAGGCAGGACACAAGGTCCCAGAACATGTAAAGACAGGGTGCGCCACGCCAATCGTCGTCGCGTCAGTCCGCATCGCAGGTGCTCACAGGGGCAACGGCCCCCGATGGGCACAGGTGGGACAGGAGGCCCCAGATCATGCAAAGACAGGAGAGGGGGGGAGGAAACCGAAAAGAAGGGGGCAAGGAGGAGCGCCAAGCACTCGCAGCCCGCGGGGCGCGCGTGCCACGAGGGCAACGGGGCGCAGGTTGGGGGGGGAAGGGAGGACACACGGCCCCATGTCATGTGAAAAAAGAAGGGGTGGGGGGCCGGGGACACGGGCGGTGGGAGCGCGGAGACGATTTCGTCGCGCTGCCATAGGGCAAGGGGGTCAGGTCGTCGGCTGGCCAGCGCCGCGGGCGCTTTCCAGTCCACGTGTCGTGGCACCCGGGGTGCGCGCCTGGTCCTCTTCGCGCCCGTCACCCTTGGCGACCTCTCTTTTCCTCTGCACGTCCTCGTACAGTCTAGGTTCCCTATTCCAGTCCACGCAGACGCCTGCGCTGCGGGGCCACGCCTCCACGCGATGGTTGTCGGCGTTATGTAATCCAGGAATTTGTCAATGATCCGATGCTGCCAGCGGCTCGGGTCGAAAGGAACCTGGTCTATGGATTTGCCTTTTGCCCTGCTCCTTGCACGCGTGCCTGCACCGCGAATGCCAGGCTGCGTTGACGCGGCACCCCTCTTCCGCAGCCTCTCCAGGTGCGCGACTGCTGTCTCGCGTGGGCGGCGCTGCCAGCCAACGCGGAAGATTGCCCGCGCCCGGCTGGTGTCGGGGTGGCGGCGATCGTCCCTGTGGTAAGAGCTGCGCGAGTCTGGCTGGCGCCAGGGGGTGCTCTCTGCGCCCCTGCCACCGCCGTGGCCGCGGTCCCAGTAGCGTTCCCTGGGCGCAGGGGGCGCAAGGGAGGCACGGGTGCAAGGGGGCCTCAGAAGAGGCAAGGGAGGGAGGCAAGGGTGCCAGCGAGACACAGGGAGGCAAGGGTGCAAGGGGACCTCTTCGTCGGAGTCGTGAGGAACCACCGCTGCTGGTCTACAGGGTCCTGCTTCGCTTGGAAGGTCTGCTGGCCGCCAGGGTTGCTCGGTGGGGCATCGGGGCTCGAACATCGGAGGGCGCGAAAGTCAGGGTTGCCAGCGAAGTGGTGCGGATGCTTTTTAGTCATGCCAGAAATGCGAGGATGCTGCTGCTGACACTGGGGGACTGTCACCACGTCGTTGTCGTAGTCCTCGTCCTCCAACACTTCCACCACCGATTC